GGGTTACCTGAACCCTAGTCTTCTCTGATCCTTCCTGACCACCAACACTCTGCAACCCTAGCAAGTTTCCAACAGCTGCTAGTACCTCTGGCGATCTCCAAGAATCAGTCTGCAAACTCCTCCTTTTCAGCTTTCAGTCCTAGGAGATTCTCATGTGGTCAGGTGGTATTAGACTCACATGAAAAACCCTAGCTTGGCTCTGATACCATGTAGGTTTTCAAGACTGCTATTCAGTCTTGATCACTAAGAGATTTCAGGTTCGATGAGAAGAAAAAATGAAGAAGATGTAGAAGAAAGAGTGATGGAAGAGCAATAGAACACAGATTTTGAGGAGAAGAACARAATGTCAAWATTCTGCCGCCGCCACTTTAAGTTAATATATATAGGTTATGCTAGTTACATGAAAGGACATATCTGCCCTTGGTGTTTACATCATAACTGCTAACAAATAACAAATAATATAAAACTGAAACTAGAAATAACAGAACAACAAAATAACCACAGCTGTGACTAGATACATTCTACCCTATGAACAGAGTGGGACCACAGCTGTGGGGCCCACATCAATGTTCTCTACAAAACTTATTAGTTCTAACACTGGTAATGTTACAGATTGTGACTTTATTTCCTGGCCCAATTTTTTGATCTTGTTTAGAATTCCTAGCTAAGCATAGCTACATGCTAAGAGGTAACTGTGACATATCTAATAATAGTATATTTTGTTTCTTAACATCTCACCCAAACATAATTTAGAAGCAAGTTTGCCTGCCTTTTAAAAGAAGAGAAAAAGGCATATTTGTTTTATTACCTAAAGAACAGTATGCTAGGTTAGATTTAAAAGCATACCCTTCCACCAGCTTAGTAGCTTTACCGACACATACAATCAATAAACCAGTTGCCATAGGATCAAGAGTACCTGCATGCCCAACCTGCAACTACAACCTTAGTGAAAAGAGTATTCATGATGAAAGCCTTTGCAACCATGCAGATTCAGTAGAATGCAGTACCTTTTGTACTTTGACAAGGCGGCGCAGCTTTCCACAAACTGTAAATGATGTCCATCCTGTCATTAATATAACAGTTCATCTTTGAGCAAACATGAAAATGTAATGAAAATTAACTTACTTTTCTCAATAAGCAGCCCAACAATATATAAAGTGAGCACAACCATTACACGGACTACCAAGCAAACGAAAAAGGTTGCAATTTTGGAAAAACAGACTAGTTGATCCTAAATTGGATAGTAAAAGGTTGAAACTTTTTCAAGAGGTTTCCAATATATAAGATTAACAAGAAGCATTTACATTGGCAAACTGGCTACAAACACAACAAACTAACTACAAATAAAACCAGCTGAATAAACAAATAACAATATACATCCTATAGATGGAAAAGAATCATGATCCAGGGTGACTAATGTGATTCTCATGGATGTACCACAACATGCCTCTCCCCTCATCACACTTGCCCAGAATGTTTAAAGACTTGAAGTGATATGGTATACTAATAAAAAAAACATTTCACACTATTCAGAAAAAAAAAAAAAAATTCACCAATATGGTACACTGGTTCTAACAACTATAGAGCCCTGATTTGACCCACCAAAAAGCCCAAATGGCAACACAGTAAACACAAATTCAATGAAGTATTTGGATCACACCTTTCTTTTCGTATAAAAAGATAAAACATGGTATATCGCATCATAGTGACATAGTAACCAACCTACTCTAATTATGTCACTTGTTTCAGCATCCCACACATTGTAAAATCCAAGTTTGGAGGTTCCAATAGAGAAACCTTATCAACATCACCCAGTCACTTAGCAAGATTAATGATAATAGAAAGGATCACATTATTCCAAAGACATGTCGTATATGTTAATAGAAAAAAATTCATAACCTTTTGGTTTGTTCACCAGGACCGCTGTCCCATATGGACCGTCCCACCTCGGGGGAAGCTCAGAGCTCCTAGTCAGTATGTAGGGTTCCGCCGGAGCAACTTCATGAGGCTTGTTGGGTACTTTCTTCAAGCACTTGAAGAACTCCTCCACCTTCTTTTCCGTAATATCCTTATTTGAATTCTTGGCTGAATTCGTCTCTCTTCTATCTTTCTCACTTTCGTCCTCAAAGAAAATTAAACCCTTGTTATGCACTTCATCAACAACCTTGTCTTTCTTCTCTTTGCTGTTAATTGATTTCTTCTTCCCCGTCTCCTTCGACTCTCCTGGCTCAACAAAAGCCTTATCAAGGCATTGATCAGGGAAGTATTTCTTCTCCAACTGATACACCATCCGGTAATGCTTCTCTTTCTCCCATGGAAATGAAAAGGCGTCATAGAAGTATAACTCCTCTTCTCTTTTGTGCAACGTCGGAAGTTCGACAACTTCCTGCTTCAACTCTATGTATTTCTCCTCGGGTGGTCGGTCATCGTCCGAGTCCGTCCCATACATCCTCTTCCTCCTCTTCCGGTAGTACTTCCTTTTGAATTTATCCATCTCCTCTTCCAAATGATTCAGACTGCGCTGGCTTGCCTCAGTCTCGGAGGTCCTCGATGAAATCTTACGGTCGACCCAACCTTCAAAACCCAATTCAGAATTTGAGTCCTTGGCCTCTGCAGCTTCAGGGGAGTTATCAGGCTTCGCTCTATCAGGTCGGGGGGATCTCCGTGGTCGCGGGAGAGGAGAGTGGGCAGGGCGGGAAACAATGAGTTCGTATTGAAGTGGGTAAGGAGTAGACGTAGTAGAGAATGAGAACAAAGAAGAACTCAGAAATGCCCTCTCCACAAGATTACGTCTTACAGATAATAATAGCATGGGCATTCTTGTTGAGAGCGCCATGATCTTGGAACGGAGACAAATCTGAGAAACGTGACTAAAGGGTAATGATAGCGCCATGAATGACCAGCTTCCACTCTTCTTTCAGCTCGGGTCTCTGATCTCCATGGGAGAACCGCATAAGCTTGGCCGCAAGGGATACGATAAACGAGTGGCAAGAGAAATGATTCTATGCCTCGCACTGCAGATAATTCAGCCCTTCTACTTGTTGAGTGAAATTTTACAAGCAAATGACTAACGAATCTACCGTACCAATCCAATGATCTTGAATACACGGCTATATCCTATGGTATATTTGGTATTTTGTCAATCTGAAATGATGTTCTAATCAAATGGTTGTCTATGGTGATAACATATATATATATATATATACGATTATGTGCTATGAAATCCCAAAGTAAATTGCGGGAGAGTTGTCCTGGGCCAAAAGACGCACTAAAGAAAGCCCTCCAAAATTCGAAACTCACCCAATTTGAGTTTTGACTTGAGGCGCTTGGCCATGGCTGGAACAGTCTGGGAGGAGGAGTGGGAGCTGTGCAACGACGACGGCTTCGTTTACAAGAGAAAGAAAAGAAGACAAGATTCTATTGCTGCTGCTGCACCACCAGTACCGGCTTCTGATCCAGTGGTGGAGAAGAGGCAGCGGAGAGAGCGGAAGAAGAGGACGCTGATGAAGCTGAGAGATCAGTACCAGAAAGAGATCGACCACTGGGAACGCTTGTCTAACATGTTACAGGAGATGGAGAAAAGCACCCACCAGCAACAAACTTTTGTTGAATTTCCTTTGCAGTCGTTGCAGACCTCAGGTTCCGTTTGCCAGCCATTGATCGACGACCTCTTATTACAGGTACTCTTCTTTCCATATTTCTCTATCTAGGGCAAAGTTTCGAAATGTATGTTATCCCTCTCTCTCATTGATCGGCAGTTCTTAAGCTCTTAAACAAGACTCCACAAAAATAGAAAAAACCTAAACCCGGTGGAAGCAAACAAAAAAAATCGATTTTCTGAAACATCCTTTTTTCTTTTTGGGAAATTTTAAACTTTCAATTGTACTGCAATTTTTACTTGCAGGCGGAAGCCCAAGAAGCTATTATTCAGAATCTTGCGAACCTATGTGATGTGGCGGAGGTTATGTGCAAGGCGTCTGATGAAGGCTTGAAGCAATCTTTCTTCGAACTTCCAATATGGGGCACTCCCTGTGGCCTCATGGCCTCTCTGTCCGACGAGTGATCTGTTGCGACAAATGAATTTGATCATAATTCCCTTTGTAATGATTGTCATGTATTCTCTCATGAAATGTTAAAAGTTCTTTGTCAATATTCCGTCTCTCTTTATTAGTATCTACACTGTAATAGGATCTCTCTCTCTGAAGAGAGTTGGTTTCAGCAACTTAGGCTGCATTTGCCTTTCCTTATTTTAAGGATTTACCTCCTTTGCAGTTAAAAACTCGGCCTTTGGGGTATTTTAACCGCAAAAAGGAGATAAATCCTTAAAACAAGGAATGCCAAATGCAACCTTAGACCTGGAAGCCATATCTGCTGAGATCATGTAACAGCAATGGAAAGCAAAGATTTAAAGGAGCATCAGTGCTGATGAGAGTATATATCTACTGAGTACTTGCTACACCACACTATGACTCCTGCTACAACAGATATACAGATAAATATACATTGCCTTGCTACAAAAGTGGAAATACTGCTGGTCTTTGGTTATTACCAAAATCCCTCTTCCAGACATAGCAGCTACCTAAATGCATACATCAGCAATAAACAAGGTGTTTCGAAGATATCACTGCATCTCTTTGGTGCTTTTTTTGATAACCTGCTCAAGTTTCAGAGGGTTTTAGAAAATGGTTGATAGGACCAACTGCTGAAAGAACTCAGACCTCTGGCTTCTCTCTTTATAATCCTTCTCCCAAACTTCATCTGACGTAGATTGCTCCATGCTGCATCAACACAAATTGTCAGCCATATCCTCTTACAGTCAAAAGTGTTGAAACACACCAACAGTACCTGGCATGACAGTTATGTTTCCTTCCAAACTACTGTTTGCCAATATGAATTTTAATTGCTTATGACCTTGACAGCCACACCAATTCAAAAAGTTCCCTAGATTTTCTAGCTACAATAAGAAGGCCAATAGAAGAAAAGATACAAGAGCAAAGGTGGGAAAGGTGGGGCTTCCATTCTTATATTCCAAATTATCATAATGCATGCATGCTTAGACCATTTTCATGAAGGGATCTCTATCTCTCATAAATTACCACTGGACTATTTGAATACAAGTGACATCATTCAATCAAACTTTACCTTTTTCAAAAAAAAGTGAAATCACTGAAATAACATAAAAAATGTGCATAATCACTTAATTTGGAGAATTCATATTATTACCACAATTTCATTATGTACTGGAATGACTTTTAAATTATTACCTTCATTCCTGAAGCAATTTATAATTGTCTTACCATTCTGATGATTATGCACTCAAATGTCATGAAGTATAATTTAGAGATGCCTCTTTGAATGAAATCAGTTTTATTCCAAATACCCCCTAATTGTTCTACATAAAGACATTGTTTGGTGGAAGAAATCCATTCTAGTTGTAGGATGATAATTGGCTCTTAATCAACCATCACGTAGTAGCATTTACTTTCAAGGAGCATGTATTACTTAAGTCATACATGCATTTAAGTTGATTTCATCACCATCATCATCATCCACACCTTATCCCAACTATATGTGGATAAAAACAACCAACAAGTGCACATGCATGCCATTGTGCCTGTGACCAGAGAAACACATAACAAAAGAAAGGAGCAAAAAATTTTTGAGGATACTCAAGTGATAGAAATATTATGAGTTATGACTAAACCTGAAGCAAACAAAGTAATTAACCATGAATTACACATGCTACCGGATTTAAACATATTCCATTCAATGATGCATCTTGGACTTGAAATACATAGGCCATTTCCTCGTGATTTCACTTAACCACTTGGTTTCTCCTAAAAGAAACAAAGAAGGTTTCATATAACTAGGAAAATTGTGTCAAATCAAACATAAAATTTTGATTAAATGCTTGTAATTCCATGACTATAATGATTGGAATTATTTTGGTTTTACTTACCAATTGTTGGGTTAGGTAATACTTGTTAATTTCACCCATATTTGTGCAACACCACATGCAGGCATCAAAATATAGATAAGATAACCTTGCAAGTGGTTTTGACATTTGGAGCATTTGGTTAATTAAATGCTGATGTGTCTATGTTGAGACACAAATAAGGGGAATACAAGTCTACAAGAAAAGGCCACGCCAGCCTTTAAAGAATGTAACTAACAGCCAACCACTAGAACAAACTAACTAACAAACTGGACAAGTGGAAAGGCGAGTATAACAGAATTGTAACAGCAGTATATAAATAAGGAAAGGAAGCTAGGAGGGGATTATCGATTTGGGAATACAATCTCTCTCTCTCTCTCTCTCTCTCATTCAGGAGGCAGGCTCCCTCGAAAGAGTCCCTGAGTTAGGCAGTCCCTAACAAGTTGGTATCAGAGCCAAGATGCCAAGCACAAGGTCATCTGCAATGGAGAACAGAGTCRACAACATGGAAGGAGAAATGCAAAGAATATCAGCTGACGTCAAAGAAGTCAAAGAAATCAAAGAAAGCTTTGCATCCTTGCTTGAACGACTGGCACAGGTACCACCTGTGCCGAATCAGGAAGAGCGCAGTGACACCAGTCATCGAAACGGATCAAGAACAGCAACAATCAAGTTTCCCATCTTCGCAGGGGGAGATCCCACATCCTGGCTTCTGTGAACAGAAAGATACTTCGATTACCACGATACACAGGGACCTGATCGTGTCCCATTAGCTTCTGCACACCTGGAAGGAGAGGCGATTGTCTGGTACCAGTGGTACCGGCGATGACACCCAAGAGCCACATGGGCAGACTTCACCGACACCTTAACCATGCGATTTGGAGTCTCAGCCTTTAAGAACTATGATGAAAGCCTCGCTAAGCTACGATAGACCGGCTCCGTCCAAGATTATCAGATGGCGTTCGAAAGATTAGTTGTGTGCGTGCAAGGCTGGCCAGAAAACGCGCTTGTCGGCAGTTTTGTTGGTGGACTAAGGGAAGAATTGCGGCTGGAGGTAAAAGCCATGTAGCCCACCACCGTTCTTGAAGCAACAGCATTAGCTCGACTACATGAAAACAAACTGAATTGGGCAAGAAGGATTAATCAACCTCTGGGAGCTGCGATCATACCAGGTATACCGAACCCAGAACCAGGTATCTTGGGTAAACCGGAGCCCAGATCA